GTGAGTGTACGTTTGACATCATGATGTTGAGCAACAGATATATATTTAGCAAAATACCCAGAAACACACACAGAGCCTTCCACTGTTCTACTAGCAATTTTCAAATGAGTAATTTACTGAATCAGGTTGCACCGTTAAAACTCGAAATGTCCTAGCAATTCAAGACTTTACTTTATAATACCGTGTAAATCAGCTAGGAAACATTTATAACTGCCAATCCTTTGTATTACTTTGTTTTACTGAGACATACATATGTATTCAAATCAGATCACACTAACCTTTCAGATGTCAGTGTATTAGGTTATTTAACAATCAAAAATCTTTTCACAGAGAGAGTAATGTTTCGACCGTATTCCATAGTATCTGTTTTACTCCTCACACTAAACAATAGATGCGTAACACTGGTTACAGCGTTGGATGTGGGTCTCCAGTCTTTCCTGAATGAAGCCAAATAAAGCCCCTTCCCACTGTAAAGTTATTAAGCGGATGAACACATGCACACCAAAGACTTCTGCAGGTCGAGCTGGCTAATTTCTGGTCTAGACCTCCGCTAAGTTGAAAAGTGGTGCACTTCCCAGGGGGATTCCCCTTAACGGGTCCTGCTATTGGCAAAGTAACAACTAAGGGCCTGTCCACACGAATACGCGGCCTCACCCAATACGGTGTCGTTTCGAAAAAAATCTTCGTAAACACGGTGTCGTTTCCAGAAATATCTGCGTCCACACGGTTTCACTGAAAACGACCCAAAACGCAGTAGTACATATGCCAGGCCTGTATGTGGTGCTGTGACGCCGCCACACCAATACACTAAAACCGGAAGAGAAGCCATGGAGCATGCGCTGTTTACAAACAAGTAGTAGTAGTCCGCTGCAGTTGTTATGACGCGTCTAGCGGCGGCGTCTGAGGTTAAAGGCTAGAGAGGCAGGGCTTATATGTCATCGTTTCAGAAAAAAAATCCGTTTTCGCCGTCCAGACAACTCCGGGCAATCTCGCGTTTTCAGATTTTCCCACTCTGGGACCCATTTTCAAAAAATACAGTTTTCACACCCCGAAAATGCCGTATCCGTCTGGACGCGAGGCCGATACGATAAAGTATTTATCCGGATTCGAAAAAAACTTATTCGTGTGGACGGCCACTAAGTTTTGTATCACTCATTTTGCTCTACGATTCACTTTTTTCCCCTCTCTCCTCCCCAGCTATTCAATGGGTCAGTTTGTTCTAGTGGCATTTATACATCTAGATAGTTTGAGCTTTTTTGTCTATGTTTTGTACATGTAGCTGATTGGATTTACACTTTTGGTGTTCACAGCATCTCATAGGCAAATAGATAATCCACAGAACAAGTCTACAATTCTCATTTTTTAACCTCTACCCCTAGATGTCTTTTTAACCTGCACATTACCAACACCAGGCTTCCTGGGACTCTAAATCAATCAGCAAAACTATTCTGGCTCAACCCACATGTGCATTAATATGACATTTTGATGCAAAAACATATTTCATCTATAAAATGATGTGATAACCTTCGGACCTGAGAATGTGAAGAGAAAGAGAGCATATGGTTGTACCTGCCTAAAAATATGACCGCTGACAGGAACCAGCTGAGGGAGGTGGAGGTTGTGGACAATACAACCATTGATGCTTTCTCAGGTCTGTCCTGGTTTGGTATCCCCACCCTCACTGACACAAACCCACAGGTATTCCCTGGTTTAGTGGTAGATTTCCCTTCAAGTGAGTGAATCAATGGAAACAGCATATGGGAAAAAAATGTTTGGTTACCGCCCATTTCATTACAGAAGGTAGTGAAAGCTCCCTTTCTTCAATGAACTGACCTCGCTGGAACTTTCAGTGGGCATGTGGGGTTTGGTTATGATCTTAATTCACCTTTCTACAAATCTGATAACTACAGTTCTGTGTGTGAGAAACACTTTTATTTTCATGCACATTTCAGTTTTTCCCACCATAGACCTTACTATGAACTTTTTCCCATTTTGAAATCACTCTTTATTTAAATGTTCTACATTTAATGAGAACATCCTTCACGTTCGCAGGTTTGCTCGCAGCAAGAGATGAAAAATTGAGTCACGGTGATGTGAAAGGGACTTGTCAGTCGTCTAACTCGGCACAAATGATCAAACGCTTGACAAAACATTGCTCATGTTTGTTCAGTTCAGTTCAAAAATGAAAAGTTGGCAGCTGAAGGATGTGCCTCCAAACATGTTTTGCTATTTTCCCCCCACTTGCCAGGCGTCTCCGCTTTCCCACTGAACAACACTCGGGGGGAGATATCTTTATTTGAATCTCTCACTCATTTTGTCATTCTGTTTATCTGTCGTAGTCACAAAGACCTACTCATCTCTGCTCAGCATGTACACTTTTCATCCTGAAAAACCCCCCAAACATTAAATAAACAAAACACACCATGAAGCGAATACTACTGTAGTTGGCATGCAGAGAAGAGAAGAGAAGAGGAGAAGATATTACTATAGATCAGATGAGCTCTGGCAGATGGTGTGACTCCTCCAGAGCTCAACCACTGGCAGGAAACATCCTTCGTTCATGGCCCTTCTGACCATTATCCCAAGTTACAACACAGCTTCACATACGTACACACCTATCGCTGGAGGCAAAGTAGCCTCGAGGTATAAGCGCAAACATCAAGCGTGTGTGTCCTTGTGTTTGAGCCCTGACTCCGTGTGTTTCTGTTACGCAACGGGAGAGTTCTTCCCATCTGTGCCTCTCCACAGCCCCCGCATCCCTGCCCAATGAAGCGAGAAACGACATCTCTGCCTTGCACTCTGCCTCCCTCAGTCTTCCTCACAACACCGTCCCACTCCTCATTATTATCATCCGCTGCGCACCGAAAACACACTCTCAAACTCTTCTTCCCTTAATATCCTCTCTCGGGGGTTCTGGTTGGCTTAAACTCTACACCGTGCAATATTCGTTGTTATCACCACCTTCCCTGTCAACATCCCGCCCCGTCTGCCCTCGGCTTAAACCCCAACTAGAAAACGAGAGCACTCTGCAGGGTGTCTAAACCAACATTTTACTTCTTATGCTCAAAATTCCAGATTATCCTACTAAATGCATTGCCGTCTGCAACCCCACCACCCCACCCCACCCCTCCTCCATGTCCGTCCCTGCTCTTCCTGCTCGCCTAACTCCCCACAGGGCTCACTGTTGTGGAAAAGATGTTAAAACAAAGAGAGCAGACAGTGCAGCGATAATCCTAAACATAGCAGCTGGGGAATTAGCCAGCCATTTGCTGGGGACTCACTATCTGGGTTTGCTAACTATGCACAATCTTAATTGCTGTTAGTGCTCAGAATGTTTGCATTGTACTTCACTGTGGATGGTGTTTGCCCATTACTGGTCATCAGTGGAGCGAAGGGTAATTAAAAGGAAAGATTTCACTTTCACTGCAAATATGTATGTTTTTTTCTTTCCTCCGGACAGGATGGGATCCTGTACTTTGATGATCACATCCTGTCTGGAAAAACATTTTCGTTGATTCCACCAGGACCAGTGTGTCAGTGGCTCTATTCAAAGAAATGAATTATAGATGCACAGAGACCTGTTTAGGATATTTAGGCAATGAGCAGGATCGGGTTTCAGACAGTAACGCTACCCAGAATGATGACAATGTGTTTAGTTCTCAATCACATATTACAACAGCAAAACATTAAATTAGTTCTGACTTCGCTGTACGGGGGCCTCTAGTCTATGGACACAAAGCAGTGTTCTGTTTACACACTCTCTCTTTATCTCTCAGCGTTCTCATCTAATACTCCAATTCTCTCTTTCACTATCTAGCCAACTACCTCGTCCCCCTTCCTTCCGGTTCATCCTGGCACTGGAGCGGAGAGTGTGATGCCCGCACCACGCCGCCTGTCTGCTCCGGCAGGGCGCCAGTCCCAAGTCTGTTACAGTACAGTAGGCGCTAAAACACTACTCACTTCAGCAGCAGAAAACTGAAGAGAGACAACAGGCGAAATGTGCACAACTACAGCAAACCGCGCCTTGGTAAACAACACCCAATGTCTAAAAATTACGTCAAATATTTGAACTGCCCGAGCGGTGTTTGGTTTGAGTTCCTGTGTGCTGGCACAGCCTCTACAATGGAAACTTTACTGAGGGATTAGAGCAAACTAAGTCCTCCTAATGTGCTTCTTTGAGCAACACACTCCACTGTTGTTGTGCTTGAAACTAGCAGCCAGGTTAGCCAGTGCCCATGTCTTCAGCTCCAGGCTGCACATCTATCTAGCAAGCTGCTGTTCTATTACAGGTGCCATGGCTGGAAGGCTGCAATTTAGTGGTTAGGGATACTGCGGGTAATTGCGTGGAGATTAGAGTGTATTTCTTTTGTCCCGGTCTGCGCTAAAAGCCGGTGAAGAGTTTCGGGGAATTGTCTCCTTCCCCTGGTCACGTTTCAGGCAGAAAGAGAGACAGGCAGGAGGACAGACACCTGTGATTGGAATTCCATACTCTGAGCCGCAGGAGTCGTCTGAGGAAGGCTAGACCTGCAGTTTCAACCCAGACTGACCGCATTTATTGTTCACCCACCCAACTGACATTCCAGGAATAAGCAGAGGTGGAGCTTTCATCTGTCTCCCACACAAGGCCATCCAAAGGACACTCAGTCCTGCGTGGTTGCACACACACACACACACACACAATATCTCACACACACATACAATCAATCACTTCAACAGTTGGCTGCTTTGTGGTTTAAAAGAGGAAAGACAAATGTGGTTAAAATGTGGAGAAGAGGCTATAAATGCAAAAGAAAAGATGCCAATATAATTCCAGCATGACTAAATTACACTCATTCACTCAGGCTTTCATTCATTTTTTCCTTCCTGCACACGCACACACACGCACACGCACACACACCCAGGCATACTCAGTTTTCAGTTTGAGCTCTGAAATGTCCTCTGCAATCCAGCCCACCTACCCTCCACTACAACAAACATTAGAGACAGCAGCCACCACTCACCTAGGTGGTCTCCATGGAAACTGTTGTCGTGGGATGTTCTACCATGGGGCACGAGGTCATGATGGGCTGCAGGTGGCCAGATTTGACCGGTCTTGCGAACGCTCACAATAGTGGCCTCAGACATAACCACGTGGCCCCCCTGCTGTCGGTGGTGACGCTTCTGGGACTGCGGCGTTGGAGGGCTGCTGCTGTCAAAGGAGTGCTGGGAGTTCTGGGAGTTTTGGGACGGCGAGCGGCTCTTCTCTCTAAAGGGTCGGCGGAAGGCCGTGGTGGGGCTGGGTGAGACGTGGCTGGACTGACCTGAGGAGAAGTCCTCTTCGCTAGATGTCAGGTTCTCGTTGGAGCTGCAGTCCGGCGTGTAGCCGCCGCCTCCACCGACATCCTCAAAGCTCCCTGGGGAGTAGGAGCGGCGCGGCCAGGTCAGGAGGTGGTCATCCCCTCCCCCGAGGTCCCTCATTGTGACGCCACTGCCACCTCCACCACTACCTCTCCCATCTCCACCGCCACCTTCCCCCATCATCACCCCACCAACATAGACACTGGAGTAGGCCTGGAACTCAGAGGGCTGCCATGGAGGGGGTGGAGGTTTGCCACCATTGGCCCTCCCCGAATGTCGCTGGTTGGGTTCCCCATCTTCATACTCCGCATCATAGCCGCAGGTGCTCTCAGTGGACCGACCTCTATACACTGGCCTGGCGCGGAGCTCCCCTGCCACCGTTGCCAGGTTACCTGGGAGGGAGTGAAGGGATCTTTTTCGCTCCATCTGCATGGCCTGGCTGCCCAAGGTGCTGATCTTGTCAGAAACTTCACGGTCGTTGACCCTGACCAGACCCCTCTCGTGGTGGAATTCCATGTTGGAGTAGAACGGTGGTGGCGGCGGCGGCAGCTGCTTCTCCTGGCCCTTTGCTACATCGCCCGCAGAGTGAGAGTTGGCTCGTTTGATCCTCTCAAAGTTGGACCTAAGTGCCGCCACGCCAAGTCCCATCCCCTTGGGGTCTGAGGGCAGCTCCTTGTCAGGAGGCGGGAGGTTGGGCCTGCGCGGGGAGACAGAGATGCCGCTTCTCTGTTTGGACGGCGAGAGGCCATCTAGGTTGTCGCAGGACATGGACTCGGCCTGCTGGGGTACCTCGAATGCCGACTCCAAGCCATCTCCGTGGGAGGCTGACTTCCTGGCTGGTGGAGGCCTGGGTTTAGACCTGCCAGTTCCATCTCCAAGAGGCTGATAACGGCTCCTATCCCCAACACCCCCACTGCAACCACCATACCCTCCACCACCAACACCTCCTACTACTACTCCAACTCCACCTGTCTCCTGCATGTGCGGCTGCTGGGACTGGCACTCGGCACCCTGCGTGGCAGCATCCACCCCCTCGTTCAGAGGAGTCTTCCTAAAGCCCCACCGCTGCTTGTCATAGCTCTTCCTCTCCTTGGCCAGGAGGGTCTGCAGGTAGATCATGCGGAAGCGCTCCTTGTTCACCTCCTGCTCCAAGCGCCTGATGGACGCTTTGCACTTCTCCAGCTCCTGCTCGATGCCTCCAACAGAACGCAGCTCCATCTTGGGGGGCTCTGACTCCGGGAACTGCGCCTTCCACGCTTCGATGAAACCAACCGGCTCCACCATATTATGCCAAATTTCTCTCTGAGACGGATTGTGGTTCACACAAACACACACACTGGCTGAATGGTGCCAAGGGCGCACTGTTAGTCCCCCTTTCTTTTCTTTTTTTTTAAAAGTCCAGCTCACCACAGAATCCTTATCGACAACAATGGCCCCCCTACAGTTAGAAAGCAGTGTTTATAACAGGCCTTTAGGTAACCCGTTCAGAAACACACAGTCTAATTGCTGACACTTGCCGTGGGTTGCGCAGATGCAACAATACATCCCATTCTGAACAAGAGGAGCCGGTTGCTCGGCCAGAGGAAGAGCTGGGAATGCGTGAGGCATGAAAAGGAAAAGAAAGCTGTAATAGAGCTCGTCTTTCTCATGCATTATTCCAGAAAAGGCCACTTTTCACGAGGAGAATTTCTTTAATTTCTCAGCCTCGACACAATGACAGTCTGCCACTGCCGATCCGGCTCCCGGGGAGAGGGGGAAAAAAATAAGAAAGTCTTTAAATCCTGCGGCTTACTCACTGTCTGTGTCTAACATTCCGGGCTTATCAGGTCCGTTCACTCTTTCCCATTCATACGGCAGTAATCCCAGGTGCTGCTGCTCCGGACCGAGCGCCTTTGTACCAGCGGCGCTCAAGGAGAATGGATAAAAAGCGCAAAACGCAGGCGACGACAACATTTGAGTTCCTCAGAGGACGCGATCAAAAAGCTGCTGGGATCCGGTAGAAGTAAATGAATTGTTTCGTTATCCCATTTTTTTCCCCTCCACCCCACACGGCACTAATGTGGTATTGTTGTTTTTTTTGTATGTTCTTTTCCAGCTTTATCCCGTTTCTTCGGCCGTGATGATGGTGCTGCTGTGTGCGCTCCCATCTCAGGCCAGCAGCACTGGAGGGCTGCAGGAATGGGAGGGACCAGGGACAGTGAGCCTGCTGGTTAAAGAGACAGAGCAGGGATGGAGTCACCCCTCATCTGATTGTTAGTGCTGGTGCATTTTCTGCCTGTGCAACTTAACTGTTCAAACTTATTTTCATGCTGTTTATTTTAAATGAGGCTTTTGCATAAGAAGCCCAGGTTTATGTATTTTCCCAGTTGTCATAGGTTTGGAAAAAAATCTCCACACGTTTGGTTCTTTATTTTGCTGTATTTGCGTGATGTTGCTGGTTTGGAGTACATTCAAGCGGCCTCATAAGCTACAAGTCATGTATTACAACATATCCTTCTAAAATGTAATCAGAAATACAGAAGCTACCACTACTCTCAATATTAGCACTAATGCACCCTTTATTATAACTGACTAATAAAGAAAATGTAAGCACATTACTCCTTCTGGAAGCTAGTGGCTGTACCTGTCAAGCAGGTGTTACAGAACATAAAGGACTGCTGTTAGTATCTTTAACTCAACACTGCCACACAGTGGACTAACATATGTATGTTAGATTTGATTTTTTTTTCTAGTTTAGACAAAAATATCTTTGAAGATGTCAGTGTAGAGTTTTTCCTTAACTGTTAACCCAGTGTATGGATTTATTTGTAAACCTATAGAAGACTGTGTATAACTGGATGAAATCATTGGGCATGCAGAAACATATAACTCACTTCACTGCAATAAAAAAAAAAAGGTCACAATTCAAATACTATATTATTTTATTTACCTGAAACCACAACCTCAGTAATGCATGTACAATCATCATTAGTCATCAATAATGATCGTCTTCTTACATATGGTTAATATTGTTCTTCGACCAGGTGTCTCTGAGGGGACTGCACAAGCCCCCTCACATTAGATCACAGTTTTACAGCAGTTGATAAGGACACAGTAATAATAATAATAATAATAATAGTAATAATAATAGCAGAGGCAATAAGAAAACAGAACACTGTTGTATTGCAAAAAATACCAATGAATCAAAGTGTCAGTCCGTTGTCCTCATTGCAAAGGACTAATTCATCATTAAGTAAATGGATCAGTGATCGGCCTACAGTAGTTAAAAGGGAAAAATTAAAGTAAAAAAAAAGTTATCTAACTCAAGTAGAGCACAGTCAAGTTCATGAGTCATTTCTCCACATCTTATATTGTGCAAATAACCCAAACCGTTACAATAAAAACAGTGATTTCCTAATATCTGCGATATATCCATCTTAAAATGTCATTCGATTATTATACATTAGAATCTATAAATACAAATCGCAAAGCCTACATACAGCTGAAACGCATGCATGAATGTTTTTGTACACTGATGTACAGCTAAGACCACTCAACCCAGTGTTTTTAAAGATTCTCTACGTGACAAGCTACCATGGAAGTTGGAGACAAGTTCTTCATGCAAGGAGGAACATTGAGGGTGTTGAAAACTTCCCCACACACAAAACTGGAATCGTGTCATATAGCATCTGCACACAGAGGTACAAGTGTAAGAGAGAGAGAGAGTGTGTGTGTGTGTGTGTGTGTGTGTGTGTGTGCGTGGGGTGTGTGTGTGTGTGTGTGTGTGTGTGTGTGTGTGTGTGTGTGTATTCGTGGTGCATGTGGGTAAAAGGAATGCGTTTCCAGCCCAAACCACTTTTAAGTATACCCTTATGTATTTGGTCTTATTACTGTGAAAACATGTCCCTTTTTTTTTTGTCTGTGCAAAGGGTACACACACACACTGCTGGTCATCATGGTGTCTGAGGTGTGTAAAGTTAAGAGTGAGCACACATGCTGGACGGCAGGACGACTCCAGCCTTCAAGTCCACTCTTTAAAATTTTGCAAAGCTTTTATGCGAGCCAACCTAAAACAAAGAGAGAAAAACTGTTAGTATAAAACACTATTAAAAAAAGAGCAATTCACATTTTAAAATCTTCTATGACACTATCAAGAGTAGGTATTGTGACTATAAGCAAGTGTCAGAGGGGTGAAAGGAACAGCACACAGTGACATTCACAATAGTGGCATGTGGTAAACATCAATGCTTAATCTTAATTCCCCAAAAAACTTAAAGGCAGGCATTCAATCGTCTATTTCTAGAAGTCGCTGCTGTCCTCTTGTTTTATTAGATTCAACTGTAGTCAACTGGTATTTAGGAGTGTGAAAAAAGCAACGGATACTCACTCTAGTGACAGGGGAGCCAATGGAAGGCATTGAGGAAGAAAAGCACACAGTTGTTAAGTGGAACACAAACACACAGTGAGAACAAACCCAGGCTTCTACCCAAAAAACATGCTTTAGTCGGGGGTGTTTTTTTCTTTTTTTTTTTTTTTTACACATGGAGTTTTCCATACAAAACAATGCTTAAGGGGTATGACTGTATGGGCTCTGATCCAACACGTACTACCACAGTAGAGTATGGTAAAGCCCAGCACCAACTAACACCTCTAAATATTAAAGCCTGTAAGAGTCAAATATACACAGGATCTGTTTCTCTGTCGTGAATATCTCCTGCTCGTCAAGTTGTGCCAAGGACACTAAAGCATTCATATGTTTGAAATGAGTTGTATTCAAGTATTATATGCACATACAAAAACACTGGATATGAATAATGATGATAACCATTGGCCTCAATCATTAAAGAAAGACAGAAAACACTTTGATTCAAAGGGTTTATGAGTGTATTTTTCTTTGAAGTAAAAAACAACATTTTGGGTTCTTATTTGCAATCCAAGTTCATTTGGAGTTCATTTGGAGTACTCTCTGTATTAGTATTTTTCCTTAAGATTCAGACTATTACTGTCCTTTGAATCAAACACTATGGAGATGGTAATTGACTTACATCATCCCCACTTATATTCTGTCTCCAAAGCAAACCACGAATAAAGTTAGTGAGTGTCAAAAATCAATATAAACAAAATATATCCTTAAAAATGTTAGAGGGAAGGAACATTTTGTTCTGTTTTCTGCACAAGCAAATAGGGGCACACCTCAGATGTTACGCTTTAGCAATACCATTTAGGAAGAGCATCTAGAGATGAGCAAAAAAAATAAATCTTTTTATCATATTGAGGTAGCTGTGCTCTGCCCAGTGCAGAAAAACTGGCTTCTTTTCAAATCATTATAGTAAAAAAACCAAAACACATCCATGAATTGAATTTATATTCTAACATTAAAGAGGGGGGGGGCACACACAATTAAATTAGAAATGAGAAACCACATAGAGTTCATGCTTTGTCACAGGACATGCGGTTTTTGCTTTTTTCTGAATTCTTTTTCTTTTTTCTTTTGTTTAAGCGGAGCATTCAAACGTTCACTCCCAAACCTTTCCCCCGTCCTCGTCTGCCACACAGAGCTCGTCCTCTCTGAAAGAGTTTTGAGTATATACTGAAGACACAATGGTAAACATTGGAAAACAAAAACAAACAAAATCAAGGCGGTATGTCTAAGCCACGCTGGTCAAAAGATTTACAAAGCCATTAAAAAAAAAAGTTGCATAAAATTCAATCTCTGTACAGATCAACTGATTTATGATATCTTAAATTTTCTTTTCTTGAAGAGGGATGCTAAACAAAACAATTTGCAGTAGTGACATAAGACAAATGATATTTCCAAAATCATTAAAAATATCAACCTTAAAGGCAATATTGACAGTAAGAAAAAAAAAATGGCTGAAGTATATTTCGTTTTAAACCAGCAACAAAGTCCACAGCTACGGGAGTGATGGTCTTCTGACACTCGCGTTTAAAGCCTCACCCGTTCTCAGATCCTATTCCAACTCAAACCAGGTGACTTCTATACTTCTAATTATAACATTTTATATTATTTGTTACGTTTCATGTGTTAAAGTTGGTCCTTCTCATACACACACGGTACACACACACTAACTCTACAAACACGCACACACACGCTAGCTATGCACATTTAGGAAGGCAGAGAGGGGAGAGGGGAGAGGAAAGAGGGAGGTGATGGTGGTGGGAGGGGGTGGAAAAGTCGAGGTTGTGCTCAAGTCAGTCAGGACCAGAACATGTCGGCCATGTTAGTGTCGGAGCTGTAGATCCAGAGAACCAAGGGGAGGGAAATGGCCACGAAGGGCCAGGAGATGCCCTCCATACATGCAGACAGGAAGCAGCCTTTGGAGCTGGCAGGCTTCTCCAGTTCTTTACCGGGCTCCAGGTAGTTCCTGGCGGCAAACTTGAGAAACTCATCCAGTAGAATAACGGGCAGTGAGATCTTGAGCACCATCAGCCATTGTGTCAGGTTCAGAGGGGTGATCTGGAAGATGATCTGAACAGAAGCACACAAGACAGAAGTCAAACTGCAGTGCAGGCTGCGTGGTACACGTTCCAATTCCAACACGGCAGACTTCATCACCACTTTAGCTTCATATTTGGAAACAGAATAAATCATTCTCGTTTCTTTCTTTGTGCCCCCTCATTTCACAGTATCACATTCTGTGTCAAACTTAAAGAAATGTTTCTCACTGGAAGAGGCTCCACATAGAGGATGAGGAAGTGAAGGGACATGGAGAGGCAGATGGCTCCCAGTAGCCACACGTTCTCCCAGGGAGGCATCCTCAGCAGGGACTGGTTCTCTGACACACTGAGCAACAAAGACAAATGGACATATTTGTTAAAGTGTCACTCACTGACTTCAGACCAGGATGCTCCAATACAGACAGAAATTCAGAAATACTAGTACAGTTACAGTTAAAACTGTTTGGCTTGGAGCAAAAAAAACGTTGTTGTTGAGATCTGGAGTTAAAATAATATAAAAAAAAAAAATAATAATTGCCTTGCTCAAACTAACCTGTTCAGGGCATTGCACATCTCAATGGTGACCAGCACAGACAGGGCCATGGTCATAGGGTAAGGGGACTCAAACACCTTACAGTCCAGATCCTGGAAGTCTGGATTCTCTGGACCACACTGCAGGAAGTGGCTCTATAACAATTGGTAGAAGAAAAAAAAAAAACACAGGTTAAAGTTAACAACAGATTAAATTAAGTTTGTGTGTTGCAGTGTGCTTAATTAGCGTGATAGTGGTTGTTTGGCTATAATTCATACCAGCTGGTAAAAGGTGATCCTTGGACCATCCTCAGCAGCAACAAACCACCAGGCGGCAGCACCAACAGTGGCAGCACCCACATAACCTGGTGACGCAAATCCAAAAGACGTCATACATAGACACAGACACAGACACCTGGGTTCATAAGATGATGGCGAATTGCTATCAGATGTGAACACTTTAAAGAGACATTAACACTACTTTAACATTGTGCTAATGTGGCAGATTTGAGATAGCTAATTGCTAGCTTTTACAATGATTCGGTGGTAGTGCCAGAACATAAAAAACACCTGCTGCTGGTTGATGTTTCCTAAGGTTTTCCACAAATAAAAAGAAACAAAAGAATATCAGCAGGCATGTTTCATTAAATACTGGCTCATACTACTACTTAGGAGTGTCACATGCAGCAACTACTTACATCCAATAGCTAGGTATCTGAAGAAGAGCCATCCAGAGATGAGGGGCTCGCGGGCGTTACGTGGTGGCTTACTCATGATGTCCAAGTCTGGGGGGTTGAAGCCTAAAGCAGTGGCGGGCAAACCATCAGTCACCAGGTTGACCCAAAGCAGCTGGACAGGGATAAGGGCTTCAGGGAACCCCAGAGCTGCAGTCAGGAAGATGCTACACACAAAATAAGCATGATTAAGAAATGATGTGATGTTACAATACCGTGTGTGTATTTCAGAGGGACTGAGTTGTACAGGAAATGGAGTGAGTCTTTCTATAAACCAGTCTTCCTTACCAGACAACTTCGCCCACGTTTGAAGAGATGAGGTATCTGATGAACTGTTTCATGTTGTTATAAATGGCTCTGCCTTCCTCAACTGCAGCTACAATGGTCGAGAAGTTATCATCAGCCAGCACCATCTCTGAGGCGCTCTTCGCCACAGCTGTTCCTGAGCCCATGGCAATACCAATTTCAGCCTTCTTTAGAGCAGGAGCGTCGTTTACTCCATCACCAGTCTGAAGATAGAAAAAACAGGTGAAAACCAGGTCAGGAAATTAAAAGGGAAGACCAAATTTGATAATGAATGTCAGTATTTTACAGTGGATGACAAACGTTCCACTTGGATACCACTAATGGTTTTATTTCAAGATGATTTTGCTTTGGCGGAAATTTACATGGCTGATGTTTAAAATAAAATAAATCAGGACCTTTTTCTTACCATAGCTGTGATTTCATCATAAGACTGTAGAAACTCCACAATCTTGGATTTATGTGAAGGCTCAACACGGGCAAAGCAGCGGGCCTTGATCACAGCGTCTCTCTGCGCAGCAGGTGACAGATCATCAAACTCTCGGCCAGTGTACGCCATGCTGGAAACATCATCGTCTTCTCCAAAAATCCCAATACGTCTGCAGATGGCCACTGCCGTTCCTGAGATTCACACAAGAGCACATTAACTTTGTTTGACCATTTTCCTTCTGTGTGTAATGGTAAAATATTCTCTGTAATGATTTCTCTTTGAGCACTTGTGACTTTCTTTACATACCCTTGTTGTCTCCAGTGATCATAATTACTCGGATGCCTGCGAGACGGCAGAGTCTAATAGAAGCTGCTACCTCTGCCCTGGGAGGATCCAGCATACCCACACATCCAACGAATGTCAGATCAGTCTGGATTATGAAAGAAAAATAGATGCAACATTCAGACTATTTTGCTCATTCTCACATATCACTGTCAGATGCTGACAGCCAACAATGCCACAGCAGAGAAGGAACCTGGAAACTAACAGTGACAATGTCCATCTGCCCCACCTCTCACCTCATATTCAATAAAGCGGGTGGAGTCCTCAAACACCATCTCATCTTTGTTCATGAGGCTGTCTCGGGTGGCCAGAGCCAGGCAGCGCAGGGTATCCCTGCCAGTTCCATATTCCCTGATCACAGACATTAGCTTGTCTTTGATGCCAGGGGTCAAGGGCACCTTGTTACTGCCTACACGGATGTGTGTGCACCGGTCAATCACTCCCTCAGGGGCACCCTGTGAGTAGGCACAGACAGGAGGAGGATGATGCAAAAGAAAACACAAGACCGTATACAAAAGAAACATTTTCAATAAGCAAAATGATCATTTATTGAATAATTATTAATTTTTCTTATTTATTTTGTAACATTTGTAGGAAACCAATATTTGAAATATCTTTACTGATAAAAGACCCTCTCTAACATGACCATTATGGTACTATCAAGTTAATGAAACACAGCAGAAAAATAGAAGCTAATAGAAGAAAAAGCTGGTCAAACATATTTTGTGACACCAGTGATATCATGTTTTTTATGTCATAGCCTTGGACAATTCAGAGCCTACAGTAATTCTCGATTTGTCCATTTCTTACCTTTACAAACATCTTGCCAACAGAGGAACGGGCTTTATTAGGAGTGCAATACACAGACATGGACTTCCTGTCTCTGGAAAATTCCAAGGTAAACTCTTTCTTCATCAGCTGCTTGATCACCTAAAGACAAGATAAAACACAAAGGCAGTTGCCTATTAACAGTTTCTCTTTCTGCATTTCTGCATTATTTGTTTCATCTTATTTAAATGAAGTAAAGAAAAGGGTGAAAACAACTGAAGTTTACATACAGAATTACAGGCGTTGGCTCTCTCAATCTTGGACAGGCCTTTAACATCTGTATCGAATACGTTCATCTTCTCCACCAGACATGTGAGAGCCGTCTCTGTGGCCTCACCCACCTTCTCATAGACGCCTTTGGTCTGGACACAGACAGAAAAAAGAAAAGAAATATTAATTTAGTCAATCTTTATCAGAAAATGTTAAACAAAACTTGAAGGCATTGTCGACTGAGCAACATTGGCACTTAAGGATTATGAGCCAGTTAACAGATTCATTACCAACCTCATTAAAGTCCAGTGAGGAATCATTACAGAGAGCACAGATAGAGGCCAGCTCCACCAAGGCATCATACTGGGAACATTTGACTGGTTTGCCATCATTGAACCTAAACAAACACATGTTGAGAACCACATTGTGTAAATCAAAGCATTTTCACATTGTCTTAGAAGGATCTCTTCCAAGTAGGTACGTCCTGATCAAGTTTTTTTTTTTTAGTGCCTGAGCCATTCAGAATCATTTAATATTGAGTGTCTGCCAATAGAGTCCCGATCTGATACATACAAACAAAATAAAATTAATGTATGTATGTATGTATGTATGTATGTATACACACACACACACACACACACACCCACACCCACACCAGAGTTTACACTTCACAAGTATGGATTTATTTTATTATAAATACATAATTTTCATCTTATAGCACACTCAATACTCACACTTCCCCATCCGGAGCATATGTAGAGCCAGTTATAGTGAATTCCTTTAATGAACAGTGATCACTCTCTGCCCGATCAATGATAAACATCTAGGAACAAACATCATAGAGACAAACCATTAGTACTCAATATTCACACAAAACACCTGTTGCCTCTGTGGGCAAAAGCCTTCTGACACAAATGTTTCACAAAATGTTTGTGCCACATTATAAGTTCTGCATGTATTCCATTATATACACAGACACTGCATCCAGCAGGTGGCAGCAGACTACAAGAAAGAAACCTTTATATCATGAGGCCACTTTAACATAGAACAGAGTAGAATAATGAAATACTGAGCTAAAGCAGACACTTGGTACTCTGGTGGGGAGGGTCCATAAATGTCATCTAACAGCAAGGCAGACACAGAATTCCTCTGTGTGCAGTCACACCACATGAATACACTGTATGAAAGTGAATCACTCGAAGGCGGAAATAGTTTGACCTTGAGTATCCAAACCCTTGGGTAAGGAGATTGGTTATAGTGTCTGGTTTATTGAGGATCTTCAGAAAATTGGAATATTGTGGAATAAAGGGTTTTCAATTGAAAGTACAAGGAAGGAATTTTATTAACCAAAAAAAATAGTTGTACTTTGTTCAACATCCAATTATAAGAGGCTGTCCATTTTTCCAAGACAAGGACATTTTGATATCAGCAACTAAGGCTGAGAAAAAAGCAAAGTGACAAAAACTTACTTAACTACCAAGGCTGTCAAGGGTATGCTATTAACTCACATATAATGGATTCTTACATAAAAAGCACCACATTTGCCAAATAATGAGAGGGGCAGGGCAAAGATACAATATCTGAATAAAAATGATGAGCTGGTATTATGGCTGCATTCCCCTCAGGCACCTGCAAGACTATAAAAAGTGGTGATGTAAGTGGCGGCCCGACCCAAAGCACAAGAGCAAGTAAGGAATTAAAGAGAAATATTCAGTCACTCAGGGCAACAGATAAATCATAGTACTGCCCTATTCGGACAGAGGTGGGTTGGATGTTGATGCTGATACGTCAAGCAAAAGCTTCTTTATCAAATAGCCAGGAATAGCATCCTATGATTACCAAAATGATGCCTTTTCAAATTGCTAAACATAATTTTGACTTTGAAATTGTGCAGGATGAGCAAGGCCAGAAGACACAGAAAGGAGAGAGAGAGAGAGAGAGAGAGAGAGAGAGAGAGAGAGAGAGAGAGAGAGAGAGAGAGAGAGAAGAGAATCTTTCAACACAAGGTCAGTTATGCAACTCTACTGCTGGTTCTGCTGCAAGTGACTAACTACTGCATACTGATCAGCATGCTGTCTGAACAAAAAGGGGGAGGAGAGTGGAATGAGGAGGGAAGAAAGGAGACCAACAAGAAAAAGGGCTGAGGAACGGCACTGAGAAAGATGGAGGGAGAAATGTAAAAAAAAAAAAAAAAAATGTATGGGAATGGAAAGGAATGAGCTGGAAAGCAACACAAGGAAAATCATAAACACATTGTAAGGCCTATTTTAGCCTTACAATGTGTTTATGATTTTATGAGTAAATCGTAAATAGATAATAGCTGATATGGCCTGAACTTGCTTATTCATGCTCATAGGGGATGGAAAATAAATACATAAACAACATGTACACAGGCAGGCAGAGATGAAATAAGACTCAAAAGTACAACCAAATCCTTCATTATCCGTTATTAGCCATTCAACGTCAGCAGCAGTGCGCAGTGCTCAATAAATCCCTACTGTCAGCAAAAGACTGTCGGGGTTGCTTTATTGCTCAGTGAAAAGTTTACACATGAAAAGTTCTCAGATGTCAAAGTAGCCAGCCCTTGCTATCTCCATGTATGGCAACTGTTTTAAAATTCTACTTATTTTTGGACTTCTCACATTTTTCTTCCAGTTTGAAATGACCAATTCCTTAAGCTCTGCAGACCTTGTCACCGCTAACTGTGCTGTTGCCCTGGGAAGGATGCAGACATGTACACTGCCATCAGTGACACGTGGTATGCCAAACTTGGATTAATAGAACTTGAATAGTCATTGTTGTGCTCATGACAATTTTTGGTATCTAAAAATTTGGTCAGAGTCCAAAAAAGGTTTGAAGACAAAGCTTTTAAGACATGGATCACTGAGTTTGATCACTGGCAGCTTTAGCTCCAAAAGGCCCACTGAGTCTTCTGTTTAAATATAATGGTCTGCTGCGTAAATATTTTACCCCAGGCAATTTATTCGGAGGTACAAAAAGAACACTAATTTCACCCGAGCCATTCGCAATTAACTTTCAATCAACTCATCCAGTGTGTTAGATAAGCTAACACTGTCAACATTTTAGATGAAGTGAGCTGACTGCTGAAGCCAACACAACCTTAATTTGCTGTGAGGCTGTGAATTATTGTTCAACATCTTCTGACTGGTTTCCACACAGACTATGACTGCCAAAGCTAGCTAACTAGATTGGCCCCTTCAAAAATAAGTTCAACCATCAATGCAATGCTTTCTTTTTCTAGATTATGGTGTGGGTTTAAATGAGATTTATGAATAAATTCATGAAATTATCAAAAGAATCCACTATCAATCTTTTGCTGAAAGTAGAGGTTTCAAGTTTCTTCTCTGTCTCTTCCACTGTTCACTCTTCTCTTACCCTACACACAGACATCTGATTGGTGGTCAGTGTGCCAGTCTTGTCAGAACAGATGACAGATGTACAGCCAAGGGTCTCCACAGAGGGTAAACTGCGGACAATGGCATTCTTCTTGGCCATGCGGCGTGTCCCTAAAGCCAGGCAAGTAGTGATGACAGCAGGCAGACCTGGGGAGAAATAGCAACAGAACCACAGAGGAAAAAGAGGATTAAGACATACGGGAGACAAGATAAGAGGTTACACAAAGAAACGGAAACAGCAATTAATATACATTTATTTACTCAAGTGATGAAAGTGCTATCCTTTATCCCTGTATCATGAAGTATGAAAAAACAAAGTATGATTTTGAAAGCAACTGTTCCAGCAGTCTGCATAATGGAACAGCAGCTGAACCTCTCATTGCAGCAAGCATGTCAAGGACATGGCTGCACGTTTCTAGCTCCCCAGCTTACCCTCAGGGATAGCAGCAACTGCCAAAGCCACAGCAATCTTGAAGTAGTAGACCGCGCCTCGGATCCATGAGCCACCATGGACGGGATCATTGAAATGTCCAATATTGATGATCCACACAGCAATGCAGATCAGTGTAATAACCTTGAATTAAAACAAATTATTATTTATTATATTCACAAATGTATTAACATTTATTTATTACATATTGACAGTAATCAATTAATCATATAGAAATAGCTATGGTTGTTTTTATTCTTTTTAAAATAGACAAAAAAGCAAAATAATGGAACCTAACAATTACCTTGGATAGTTGCTGTCCGAACTCGTCCAGCTTCTGCTGCAGTGGTGTGCGCTCCTGCTCTGTTGATGCCATCTCATCTCGGATTTTGCCAATCTCTGTGTTTCCACCTGTGGCCACCACTACACCAACAGCCTTACCAGCTGCAATGTTGGTGCCCTGTGGTGGAGGAGTAGTGAAAGGCAGACATTAAAAATAAAATTACACATTAAGATTCAGGGCATAGGGGTAAAACTAGTTTAACAACTTTGCTGAAACGTGTCACAAAGACACAAAGAGGAGATTCAATATTCAACAAGTGTCAGCATGCAGCAAATTTTAGAAATAGTGGAAGCTGCCATGGAAGCAAATCCGAGAATTTATTTTGTTGATGAATGGACTCCTTAGCTGTTCAGACATACACTGTTATTGCGTGTTCTCTTGTATGTATGAGATGGAAAAAGCAAAGCTAAATATATAATTCAATATTTTCGAAAATATATGTGAAGAGGGAAGTGGAAAATCGCTACCTTCTTAGGTGTAGTCTGACGCAAATAAGTGTAAAACAATACTGAACAGATTAAAATGGTCTTGTGAGTCACTCACAGAAAACAGCATGTTCTTCTTGTCCTGGTTGACAGCACGTGGGTCAGGCACTGGATCAGTGTGTTTGATCACAGACACAGACTCTCCTGCAGGAAGAGTGAACAAAAGCTATGAAAGAGGGAAGTGGTTATAGAGTTTCTACAAGTTTTAGTCGTGATGCTTGGATGACACTTTAGGCAGATATGTGTAGAAAAGGCTTTGCAGCTGACTGAGCAGGCCTGACAATTATCAAATACAGCACTGCCACTGCCTTTCAAACCCCATATCTGATGTGAGTTTGCACTGTGTGTGTCTCTCTGCGTGTAATCAGCTGTGCAAGGTCTGCACTGTTCTGATGGAGTAAGGCAGGGAGCATTTGACAAGCGGTATGGCCATGAATGGGGAAGGGAAGAGAAGAGAAAAACAGCTGAAACACTAAAATATCCCTTGGAATTTGCTACCAATTAAGGCAGCAGAGCAAGACAAGAGACTTAAGGACTTAATTCACATAAACCTCTTCTCTCGTGCGTTATACATCCTTCAATATTGTCCTCTTGCAATCTTTTCCATCTACATCAGTGTCCAATTACCCATGCACAGATTCATCCATTTACTTACATCGCTCAATTCTTTTTCTTTTGGTACGAACTGAGCAGCCATGACAACAGGGTGTAATGAGGGCATGTGAGTCAGAAGGAAGGGGAAATTACTTATTCTTGCTCTCTGTCTGGGTTGATCAAAAGAGGTGAGTTGCTATAGGGGAAATATACGAAATGTATAATCATGCGTAATGGCGGAGGACACATACATGAACTGCAAAATGCTCACACAGTCTCACACAGACACAAAAAAGGAGCTGAACAATTTATCATTTGTTTTTTTTACCTGTAAGAATTGATTGGTCTACCCTCAGTGTGGTTGACTTGATAGAAGACAGCCTGATGTCTGCAGGCACTTTATCGCCAACTGTGGACAGAAACAAAAAAAGCACAGGAGACACTTTAGTATCTCTTCACAATTAAAAACAATCTGTAAATGGCACTGACTACAGGTGGATGGATACTTTTTACAATACAAGTGCTAAAAGCAGGTGAGTGGTGTTTAGATTTAATGTAAATGTCCTAAATGTAAAAGACACCTCTAAAATTAAAGCATTTTATCAGAACAAAGAGACCATGCTTTTAGATAAATGCAATAAACAAACAAAAATTACCACACACAGACACTAAGTATTGGAAATACAATCAACAGACGTGTTATCCCAACTCATGCTCCTTGGGAGTAATAAAATAATCAAACTCAAGTTATTTGTTGGAGAGAGGCTGGGGGAAAGTCATGCATTCAAAAATTATTAATGTTCCACTCAACTTCTGCACAGGACACAAATAGATTGCTGCTCATTCTTTCCACTAACACATGGCTTAAGCAATGCCCAGTAAAATAAATGTAAAATGTAAATATACACCAAATTCCAAGTGTTTCCTCTGTAGAAAGCAGATAAGTACCATTAAAGTCACTGATATTTATAAGCTTTACTTAAAAAAGGCAACAATCTTTGTAGATTTCACACACATTTTTTGTCTGATCTGGACAGCTAAAAAGTACTGATAATGAACCCCTCGGCTTTGTGATTTAACTGGGGGAAAAAAAGGAGTATTTAAAAGTAAGACCGTGCTTCGCATTCAGATCTCTGAGCTAACCTTTGCAAAGCATGTCTATGGGATGAGGCTATAAATACAAACATGCAATGTATTATCTATTGAATGGTCAGATTGATGAAGAATCAACAAATATAACCAGAGAAAATGCAATGTAATTTAAAGGAGTCTGTAAAGTACATTAAAGTCATGTAACTATTAAGTTATCGGTATAATAATGTACCATTACATTAAGAGTATGGGCCAATTAAGGGTCCCCATAGCACCAAAAATTGATGGGTGACATTTAAATGAATTTCTAGAGCACAATGGAAAAATGCCACTTTTGCACCCAAGTGAAATATTACCTTCAGCTTACAGTAAGATATCACAAAGTCTGAAAGGGTGATGGTAAAAGCAATATAAAGCTGTGACCCAGAGGCTCTTAAGAGATCCCTCTGTGGACAGTGCAGAGTGGTGACAGACATGTAAACCAACCCTTGGGCCTCTGCAGTGCCCTTCTGAGTAGAGAGGAAGAGAAGGGGGAAGGAGGAGAGGAGAGAATGGGAAGAGGGATTAGATGAGTCCAGCAAAAACACACGTCCAAAAATGGGAAAACTATTTTGATCAGTTGCAAACGTGCTGCTGGATTTGGGGGAGGGGGAATGATAAAAACTTCTGTTTTAAGCAAGGAGAATCCGCTCTTCGTCATATGGGTTTAAATAAAGACAGTGTGTCCTTGCACACAGACTGTTCATTCATTTCCCCCATTCTCATAAGTTTGTGACCGATTTTAGCCACTAATAGAGAGACTGAAGCAAGGAAATTCTACTCAAGAACTAAGTAACCAATAAAACAAACACACAACTGAATTGTTTCATATCTTGCTTATTCACTATACCAATAATCAATGTTATTACTGTAAATGCACTATAACATGTGGCAATAGTGAGTGATAATGCTCCTGGACTATACCAGCTGCACTACCAAATTTGGTCCTCCACTTGACTCGAGGCTGTCAAAACCACTTCATCACCTGCATGCCTTCAAACTAGATCCCTCTTAACTGACAGGAGATAGTGAAGGAGATGAACAAGCATAGCATGAAGGAGGACAAAAAGGAGATGAGGAACTGCAGCCACTGGAAATATTAAAGACTCAAAGCCCTATGGGAAGGTTCCTACAAAAAGTCACTAATTGGAAAATCTCTTACCTTGATAATAATAGCGTAACACCCCCCCCTATTTACCATATTATACTGTGAATAAGGTCACAGTAAGTAGTTTATCCCACTTTCACAGGCAATGAAAATAGTTTAGTAGAAATAAGACAAGATATTACTTACTATGGCCTTTTAAATTAAACCATTAAAACAAAGGTATGTTGTAATTGTAATTTCCACCAGCATATTGTGTTCAGTGTCTGGACAAACCCATTTATCCTGGCAATAAAGAAACTATCCCAATCATTCACTGGTCAATAATTATTAGATAAGCTTGAGTTGCAATTCGCAATATCCCTGAAGTTACTGTTACAGTTTATTAATGTTGCTACACGTCATTTGGCACACAATGAATACTGTTATTAAGCTATTTTTTTTCCAGAAATTTGCTGCAGTGACCCAAAATGTGCAGCTGTTTCAACTTAGGAGTGACATTATCTTCCCTTTGATCTTACATCACATGCTCTTTTTTTTAGCTCTTATGTTGCTGAGAAAGAGTAGACAGCCTCCGGGATAAGGACCTTTCTTTCTCCCATGTGAACAAAGGATTTTAACCATGTTATCTGCTCCCTAGAGTGAGGGACAAATGTCAGTCTGCATACAGTTGAGTGATAACACCCCATCAGCTTACAAAGACCCAAGTTGTTTTCATACCCTATCCAGGGTCTGTATCTTTACCTTTCCTCCCTTACACTAACCATGGTCGACACCCCCCACCAATGGGATTGAGACCCTCAAGTCTTGCAGCGAACCATACTAATAAAACAAAGTCTTTTGGATTTCAGTTATAGTACAAAGCACCCAACTATTCATCATGGGGGGTCCAGTCAATATTTAAAGGTCTTAAGGGGGTTGTATATTTTCTCTCCCAGTGACTGGGTGCTCCCTGATATGCTAGCACGTAGGCTTGCAGCCTCCTGAGACCCTCTTGAGGTCCTCCAGGCCTCAAGAGACTACTTCACTCCCCTTATGAATGGAAAAATCACAAGACCAAACCTTAACATACACAAACATACATGACACTGTGCATTTCATATAATATTTATGTGTTCTGATAACGGAACAATACATGCAAGAGGAAAAGGAAAAAAGCAAAGAGCATGGATAAGTGCAATAGACTGTCAGCAGAGGACAGGCAGAAACAAATAGCTTGGGTGATGACAATAGACAGACTATCCTAGACCATTAAACACAAGAGAGGAAATCTGGCGATGTGGCCACATGGTGCACAAATTATTTATCAAATTGAATCTGTAATGCTTCTAAACGTGTCTTCCTGTCTGCTGCCTCTCAGGGCAAGACAACATTAGTAGTGAACACTGCCCTCAAACTGTGGTTAAGATAAAATCACATAGAGGTGATCAGTCTCACATATAATCAATAATACACATAATATACCGAGCTGCGTACAGCCAGCAAGAATGAATAAGGGAAGCAAGAAAGTTGAAAAAAAGGACATTTTATTCCTTATGTACAGGATGTTGTTGCTACATGGGTCTAGGCCATCACTTTGGCAACGGACTAAGAAGCTCTTGCCCATTAAGGAGTTGCAAGGTAAAACAAAAGAGAGCAAGAATCAAAGAATTGTCACTGTTGCGTGAGTAGAGCTCTGGCAGTATTCACTGAGGGTTTTAAATTAAACCTTCTAATACTTAAGACACAAAACAGTTTATGAATGGCTCAACTACTTGTCATGGTCCAGCATGTAAAGAAACCCTTTCTGACAATCAACGCAAAAAGAGGGAAAGTGAACTTAACCAGACTGAAGGAGATTTCATGTTTATGTAAGCCATACATTAAGTAACAATAAGATGGGTGTGGTAACGGGAGTACGGGCTAGGTCCATTTAAATTCCAAGGTTATGAACAATTTCTTTCCCTCTAACTGACAAGATTGGTGCTGCCAATAAAAGAGTATTTCTTTTGGCATTTACAAAGCGACCCTTAATTTAGCAGAAGCAGCCCACTTCCTCCAGAAGCAACGACAGGAAACCCTGCTTGGACTATCTTTTTAGCGTCTTACAATAAAAACAGCCCTCTGTGTCCTGTGCTCACTTACCACAAACTTTATCAGCCACAATGCTAGCTGTGGCTACATTAATATACATCAGATGTGTGAATTAGGACAGGGAAAACAATACCAGCCATACCTGCTCACAGCTGCTAATCAGAATACACCAAAGGCCACCACATTGACATCTCATCTAAAAATATTTTCCCTGAGCGGTGCCTGCGCTACCACTAGTTAGATCCATTTCTGTTATGCTGGTAGCTCAGAACTATGTCACTGATGCAAAAGGGGCCAGGTGTGTCACTTGATGCTCTGCCCAGACAGACGACAAAAGCGATATGAATGAATCATACTCAATTCATACTGCAGCAAAACAAAGTGTTTGCACACAGCCAAAACACAAAACTCTGACAAGTAAGCAAACACTGCAGGGAAAATACGTTTCAGAAAAAGGTCTTTGCTAGCCTTTGAGACAAGACAGTGGATGTCCACTGGACAGTTGAGACAGCAGTTTTTTAGATCTGAATTACTCTTCAGGAGGGAGACAGGAGTGTATGTGTGGCTGGGAGTGGAGGAATGGGCATAACTATCACTTTCTACCCAAAAGGACTGGAGAAAAAAAAAAAAGCATATTATAAACATAGAACAAGACACATAACCATACAAATCCACACAGCACACAGAGTTCCATTAACCACTTAACAACAAATGCTCTGACGGAGCATCTGAGATTGTGTGGCAAAATTATAACAGCTCTAGATCTAAAAGTACTCAGAGGTTATAAACCACATGCCTGATCTGACAAGACACTTGTCTTGCAGCCTGGCATTACACTCATACATCATCAACTCTCATGCTGCAACTCGTTGGTGGAGTAGTTGGTGTCCCTGACGCTGCTAACACAAACACGCGCACACATAGCTCTTTGGCTAAGTAAATGCAACTATGGTAGCTTTTATAGATACTGCTCATTTCACTTTGTGACAGATCCATACCGTGCAACTTAACCCTGTTAATCAACTCCATCCTCATTACTTATGTGACCTCAGAGGCCCATCTATCAGTTTTAGAGCCATATTTATGCGAACAGCTTGCTGCCGTACACAGTAAATCACATGGCTATAAGTGTGTATATAAACCATTCAGACTGGCTTGTTTGATTCAGCTACTGTCCCACTAAAACATTGAAGTTGGCAGGTTGAATGATCTAGATGACTGAGTGAGGCACAACAGTTGCAGCAGCACAAATAGTGGTTCTATTGGGGTTATGACATAAAACAATGTCTGAAGTGTTAAAGAATGTCAAGTACAGCAATCAATGCTGAGATCAATTCCTGTCAGATGGGGACGAGATGAGGAGGATACAGTGGCCACATCATCACTGAGACTGTAGAACGGAGGCAATAAAAACTGAGCATTACCTAAAGCTGGTGTCAGGAACATGACAGTAGAGTTGAATGACTCAGTACAGTGATTTTGCAATGTTATACCGTGCTGCAGTATATGATTTGTCCTGTTAGACAGGCCTCCTCAACTAAGAGAGTATTTTATCATTACATTTAGCAATATCATTACCACACAGTATTTTGTGGTACATAACTAAACTTAAATGCAAGCTTCAATACTGTAAATACTGTATACACATGCTGACGTTTGTAACTTGTGAAGTAGACCAAACCACAATAGCTCCAACCTTCACTTTCAGTAATCAATAAGCAGAAGCAGAAAATGTATCGTACAATTTATATTGGTTTTATTTATGGTCAATTGTTGAAGGCATTTAATATGTTTCAGAAAACAGACATTCAGCTAGCTGTGTAGCAGCTGCAGTAGATAGCTAGTCACTAGCTATGATGCCATGCCAGGCAATTATATAAGTGCTGATTATGGTTTTGACCCAAATGATGCCTCAAGTCTTCATAGAAAAAGGGTGAACTATTCAAAAGATAACTAAAATTCTGCACTAAAAATCCTGTCAGTATGAGAATTAAAAGGATGATTTTAGCAGACTCAAGTTAGACTGTATTTAAATAAACATTTGTGCCAGATACAGCATCGACTCTATAAAGCAATGAAACCACACTGGAATCCACAACCATTTCTTCTAGCTTCTGACAAGATTATAAAATCTGTGACCATACTCCATTAACCTTTGCTTTGGAATAAAAAAAAACAATCTAACGGAAAAGCCACATAATTAACAGAAACATAATAAGGATGAAAGAAACAACAACAAAATAAATACAAGAGGAAAGATAAAAGGCAGAAAGAGGCCCACTGAGAAAGACAAAACAAGAGAAATGAGGAGCAGTGACGCAAAAGGCATAAACATATGTGGCCCTATCCAAGCTGAGGCTGGCCAAGAAAAGAAGATGTTGGGGAACAGATTGGATCTCTGCTCTTGTATTGCATAACTCTTAACTTACTTGGAACTACCATTATTCTGAAATTGTCAGGGGGGATGAACAGGATGAGGGATCAGCTGTGTGTCTGTGTGTGTTTAAAACTGTAAAGTGTACGTCATAACACTGTTGATGTTTACAGGATTGATGACCAGTGTTATTCGTACTCTAACAGTCACCAACAGCATCTGCATGTCGAGATACAGTCATTGATCCATCATCTATTCTTTTTTTTTTGGATAAAAAACACCAGTACCAGATGATTATCAGATGAAACAAATACAACATATGTGAACATATTTGCTTAATCATTTGAAAACTTAGCCATACTTGATCAAAGAGCAATGTTTGCTGAAAAAAAAATTGTATAAACTGGTCTGGTGACCCATTCATAATCATCTTAACAAGCCAGCTACTAATACAAGCCAACCAATAGGAAATGATGTTCTGTTAGAAAAGCATGGTAGAGATTCAGTCCCACAAGGAGCCAACAAGAATAAATCAAATGCATTTCTTCTAGCTATAAACTAGATGATACTGTGCAAAATGCTTTAGCCAACACGTTATCTGTATTTTGCAGCATATGAATGGTTTGAATCCTCTGAACTTTTTGCATATAAGGTGAAGGATAAATGGAAAAAGATTATAGGCAATAATCCATAATAAATCTGAATTTTTGTTTATATTGAGTATCTTTTGAGCGTAACTTAATGTTGTTGCCGATCTACCCATGTGCTATCATGACAACTTACAAGCAAGTGAGAACAATCAGCATCAGAATGCATCCTGTCCATGAGTGCATGACTAGAGCTTTTATGCTATATGTGTTCTCTGTTGCAGTATTCACCGGCAGGCGGGCATGCAAATAAACAGGACCACCTTGTTTCCACCTGGGTCACGATTTTCCTTTTTTGGCTTTGAAGAATTCTTTTCCACCCTGTGACAAAATGCTGCTTCCTTTCCCAGTGTGGTGGCTATCTATTTTTTCCATTTGACTGTCCCTGGGGTCTCTCAAAAAAGGTGCATACTGCTGTTTGTGCAGGCATATCTATTCAAACTGTTTACCATTGAACTCATCCATCTTAAAATGGAAAGCCCTGGGCATGCTGTGGGTGCGCAGTCTCAAAAATTAAGGAGGATGCACGACCATGTGTTGCCTTGACTTTCGGCGAACGCACTCTCCTGCTGGGGACACTGCAACCAGCATAAAAGGCTTAATACTTTTAATCTTACCTGCTACCTCCACGATGTCCCCAGGCACAATGTCCCTGGCCTTGATTCTCTGGACACTCTTCCTATCCTGGCGGTACACCTTCCCCATCTCTGGCTCATACTCTTTAAGTGCTTCAATGGCATTTTCTGCATTTCGCTCCTGAACAGTAGAAATGGGGGACATTTTTTTTTAAAAAACAAGTACATTTCACAGAAACCCCTAGCATTTCACAGGACCTGGGTGATAAGGAAGATGGAAACGGAGCACCTTCTCAGATTTGCTGCTTCAGATAGAGCACTGTTATTCAAAGTAGACTGGTGAGAATCTAATCTTTACATATGCAAAGTGACAAATAAAAAATAAACTACATGCACACAACCAGTGGTCTAAGATAGACAATGGAGGAGAATTGTGTAAACACTTGGACATGTTGTAAAATGCTGGAAAAAAGGAAAAATATTTTGTTTTAGTCACATGGTTTTCTTTTCAGATATGAAACAAGACATCTTACCCCAACAGTGAAACTCATCTACACAAATGTGTGTCAATTATAATGGCGTTTTTACTTCAGATTCCCCAAATGTTTCCTTCTTGCCTGCTCAGTTCCTTCGTAATCATTCTTCACTTGCACTTTTCTGTTAGTGCTGACTTTACCTTGTCTGACTGATTGCTCTCAGATTGGACAGTTTTAGTGGCAGCTCCCAGCCTGTCTGGCAGGCAGGCAGCACTCAACGAGACATGGTAAGACAGGGCACACTACCTCAAGACATTAAGGTCTTTTGTAAAGGATAGCAGGGGACAACAAAGACACAGAGCCATTAAAATGGCTGCCAGTAAAGGTGAGGGTTTAGGTTACCATCAATTATTCTGAATTCAAAGGAAAACAATCCCAATTTCAAAATAGGTAGGGACATATAAATATGAACCAAAAAAGCAGCAGATACAGCCTCTTCCACATCTCCAACATTCATAGAGGCTTTGTTTGCATAAACAAAGGCCAACAACTAGCCACTTCACAACTCCCCATTTACAAAAGCCTTAACAGAGCCTTCAATAAAGATTGTGTTTACGATACAATAAAGCAGAGACCCCACAAACTACCTAAGTGTCTTATTTGACCAACTATACAGTGGTTTGATTTACAATCATGGGGATTCTTCTTGAAATAAGTTTATTAGACTTTTATCCCAGGAGACACTCCCAAGATAAATAAAAGATATTTATAAGTCTGTATGGGCCAAGAAAGGTCTTAATGTCTGTGCAAAACAAGCAACTAGCTGTTATAGTTGCATGAACATCTAAACCAACAAAAGCGACAATTGGGATACATTGAACAGGACACGTCTGAAGGTAGGTACTACCTAACACTGGGTAATATAAGGCAGGTATAAGGTAATTGATACATGGCCACTTAAAATATGGCATTCAATAATTTGATTGATCATGTGTTACTCAATGACTTATTGTTAGGCTGTTCCACATAGGATATCCCATGGCAATTAAATCTGCCCTGAACTGTTTTTTGGGTGCATTAATCTAACACTATTAGGAGCCAAAATACCTATCTATTATTACTGACTCCAGGGTGACATGATTTCATCGGAAATGGTGCCAGAGGGACATAAAAAGAAAAAGAAAAGATAATTAGTTTTTCTGCGTGTCCAGATGAGTGACTCCAACCACAACGGTTTTGCTTCCTGCCTATAATTAAGGTGTATGTTGACAAATCAATACTGCTTCTCAAAGGAACTGACACTGTAAATCCTTAGGGAATGCCAAGACTGGGCAGGCACATATACACAAAGAGGCATAAAAATACCTCCTCACACATGCCATATAAAACAACCACTTTCTCCTGTTACACCTGAAGACTAAATGTTGCCTTGCTCACTTAAAGGACACGAACCAGGGTTTCCCTGAGAGGGTAGATTAATAATATTTTTTTGCCCCAGCTATATTGAGCTATCACTATTACATAATAAGTTTGCTATGATGAAACAACTGGCAAAGCAGGGTCAGGTAGCATAATTCCAGCGCTCCTCATCTTTTCAGCATTAAAGTGGCACATCTGCAATCACTCCTATTTAGGAGTTACACTTGGACAAAACCCCCTGAGCTAAGTTACTTCCTAAGCAAAGCTCACATAAAAATTAAATATTAGTATTCAGAAAGGTACATTTACAAGGTTTTTTAAATAACCCATACTAAGGTAGATTTGTAAATGTGATGTTTACCTGCCAGACTCCGACAATAGCATTTGCTATGAGAATAAGTAGGATAACAAAAGGCTCCACAAAGGCTGTAACGGTTTCTTCTCCCTCTTCAAACCAGGCCAGTACCTACACAGAAAACATAGAAAAAGAAATGAACAACAATTAAATACACCACAAATGACAATTAATATGAAACACGCTCTGTTTACCATAGGTTAACTTTAGTATTTCCTCTTTTCCACACACCTTAATAGCAGGGAAAGTTTTACCAGAACCCCACTCTGACTTTTACATATTTGGCACAATGATTTTAAAGGGGACATATTATGTAAAACAAACTTTTTAATCGATTGATTATGTACATTTGGGACTCTGGAGGGCCTATCAGAAGGCAAAGTGTGAACACAGATGACTCAGATGATAAAGCAGTTAATGTTGACTTCGCAGGGCGTGTCACGTCACATTCCCTGAATGTCTCGTTGAGTGCTTCCCAAAAACTGTTGCTGAATGGGGGAGCAGTACCAACTCCAACTGTCCGTGGCAAGATGGCAGAGGAAGAAACTAAGTATTTTTAAGAATTTATGCTTTGTTTTTCATTGTTTGTGTAACGCTAGCAAATGCTAACTGCTGTTAACTGCTTGCTATCTAACAATCATTTAATAATTCATAATATATATCAAGCCAGCTTCTGCCAGAAGGAACCGAGCCAAGTGTGTTACAAAGTCATGTCAGAGAGATGGAGAGCGTAGCGTAACTACTTAGTCCTCTTTTAGAATCTGTGCCAGGAGTGAAGTATGTCAAACAAAATGCCAACGGCTCTGTATCTTCTACTCCAACCTATTTAAGCACGACCAATCAAACATCAAATTTAATTTCTAAGTGTCTATCAAACATTGTTGCATAACTGAATATATAAGTCTAACAACTGTTTGTATATAACTTTGTAGTCCAAACGTTATCATGCTGAAATAAATTTCAATATGTCTGCATGTGCTTGTGTTATTGAGAGCAAGCGGTCTACTACAGCCAGTGATTTATAAGCTTTGTGGGCATAGCTGGCTGTCATCAGCATGCCTTGGTTGACTGATGATATTCTCAGCCAGTCGGCAAACAGCCAATCCTAGTAGTATGAGGCCCTTGGGATAGTTAACACTGTGCCACACAAACTATACAGGGCACTGACACTCACTAGTGACAAGAACACAAGAATCACAGGTTATGTTTGTTCATTTATGAAACTGTTATTCATGACAACATGAATAATGGACATCAAAGTAATGTTGAGAGTTTTAGTCGTCACTAGTTTGTAATGGTATGTTAACACCAGGAAATTCAATCAACAGAGAGACATATGGACCTCTCCGGTGACATCCAGTTTCACTTTAACAGCCAAAGGAAAGCACGCTGCTCATTCCAACAACATGCCACATGATCATCAAGTCACATAACTATCTGTTCCCAGATTAACAACATGTCAGCGTTATGTGCTAACATAATCTCTCTGAAACAACAGGTTCATAGAGGATGGGATGACTTATGATTTGCTTCAAGAGCAAAAACATGCATGCATTGACATATAATACCTTAACATAGAATCGGGAAAGAAAATTATCATCTGGGTTGTGTCACCAGACAGATTCTGGGCACCTTTCTTCTCCACTTTTTGCTAAGCTATGATCTGCACTGAATCAATCAGAAAAGTACTGTATACACTTTGTAGGATGACAGTCGTGCTGAGAACATAAAAAAGACCCCAGTGAACTCATCACTAAAAGGGTGAAAAGAAACATGGTGGTGGAGATGAAAACAGCAGAATGACATGTTTTATTATTTTATCTTCCCATAAACAACGGATGTTCTGTCACAGAGGGAATACAGCAGGCTCTTGTATTTAAGATCTCACTTCTTTAGCACTAAATACCCAATCTTAACTCAACTTTATCTTGAGTTGAGTGTTGAACGCAACCGCATGAGTGTGTCACAACCTACTCACAGACTTTTACTACTACACAAGAGTCCATTCGTATACAACTGAGATTAAAACCGCTGTTTTTTTCTCATCTACATTGCTGAATTAATTAATTTTTTGACCAAATCAGAGTTGGTGATTGTTTGAACAGTGGAGAGACTAACAAACACAGTTTTGGTGAGTTTTATTTTGTTTCTGTCAACTTGAGAACATAGTAAAGGAGGTATAGCACTTGGCTGTATGTGAGAGCAAACATCAAGTATGAGCAATTTATTGTACCAAGACAATACTATCTGGTTTATATTGATTGAATGAACCCCCAAACAAACCTTTACAGCTAATAACATACGTGTTATACTTACAAAGGATATGCAGGCAGCAAGTAAAAGGATCCTCACAAGCAAATCTTCAAACTGTTCAACCACTAGTTCCCATAGGGATTTACCTGGAAAACAAGGGTTTAATTTAAAAAAATGAATGCCAATGTTTCCCTTTAGATTGACATATTAGAAATGAGAGTTTCCACATTTGTCCACTTACCCTCCTCAGCTGGCAATTCTGCAGATCATCACAACCATTCAGACCGCAGACAAAAGAGAGATGGACAGGGAGTAAAAGGTCAGTATTTGATATACAATATTAGCATAACGTTTTAACAGCAGAGACGCAAAACCCCACAGATATCACCTTATAATAGGGCTGATGTAACATTAATTGTTCACTAAGTAAGTTTCAGCTAGCTTTCCAGTATTTCAACACGCAGACAGTAACGTGACGTCGCCAACCCCCCTTTATGTTCGGTATGTCGTCCGTTACAAATCGGCAGCCACGGGCCACATACATGACACAGGGAAAGCAACGTTGTGGCTACTTGTTTTTATACAAACTGGTGTTACCCAGCTCCTTACCGTTTGGTCCATACTGCTCCCGTTGTTTCTTCACTTGCTCTAAACTCAGACCTGTGCTTTCATTCACGTTAAAAAAGCTGTAAACTTCTTCGACCGTCTTTGTGTGTGCGTTGTCCATGGTGAACGGCCACTTGAGGACACCGCTTGTTTCGCCCTGTTGGTCCCAACCTCAACCCGTCACGGTTCTCTCCTCCTGTTTGAGGTCACCCTGGCACAAAAAATACCTGGCAATGTTGTTAGAGCAAGAGTCCACGGTGCTGGCTGTTACCGGTTAATTAGCTATGACACTGGACAGCGCGTCGGACAGGTGCCTGTGGCTTTAGAGTGAACGAGTTAGCGGCTCCGGAGCTAACGGATTGCTAACAGGCTACAGCTAGCTAACGTTAACTGTTGGGCTCCTCTGGCTCCGCTTGAATTCGCCGGCTGTGCTCCGCTAGCCTTCGTGTGAGACCTTGAATGAACAACTCATATCAACAGCGCAGCCTCGATTGGATGTTTCAATATCTTCCTCTTTTAAAAAAAAAAACAAAAAAACAAAAAACCGACTTCCAGAATGAATCTGTCTAAAGAGATCATTTAAACATGTGGCTAAGTTGCAGCTCTGCTCCCCTCGCCCGCTCTGCCTGTGTGTTGCGGAATCACTAGAATCCTCATCGGAACCAATCGCGTTTGTCCGCTGCAGCTCTCGCGTGCGTCGAATGCGGTGTTCGGTGTCCGCATGTGGAATCAGCTCATTGGTTGGAGACACCGGAAATCCTACTCTCTCTCTCTCTCTCTCTCTCTCTCTCTCTCTCTCTCTCTCTCTCTCTCACTCCACAACGACCATGGACGACGACGCGGTGTGTCATAGATAATAGACATATATATATATATTTATTTAGAGAGAGAGATAGGCTATACAGTACTGTGCAATGTTCTAATCTACATCCTGCATTCTGTTTAATGGCGTCTCCAAAGGTTTCATTCATTCATATATTTTTTTTCTCTATCGTCAAAGTATTTCTGCTCTGCTCTTATGCATAGGCTACAAAACGATACCAATGCACAAATGAGTGATCAGCACTGTATCCAGACAAGGTCGCGGAAGTCTCCTGTAGGGATCTGTGATGGATTGACGACAGTTTTTGTAAACCGTTCTCCTTGGCTTGTATCCAAGACATTATTGACTGATTTAGAGACCACTGACACTTGCCGCAGAGATGACACTATTATCTGTTTTGAGCACAATACGAATGGGGAAATATGCTCAAATTTCATTTATATGTATTTTTTATTATACATTTATGTAAAATTAAACATGTAACATTTTAGTTGATCATGAGATTGTAGTATAATCCCCCTGGCAATGTAAATAGTGTCAGCTGTCTTCAATTTCAATCTGTAATGTGGTCCATATAAAATTGAAGAATTGAGATTACTCTTTGTAGTTTCTGTAATCACAAAATATCTGTGTTGTTTTTTTACACATATATTGAACCATGACTGGTTTCCTGATGAAAAATACAAGTAAAGACTTATGTTAATAAACTATATTGATAACGATATCAGTTTTAATATCGTATGTTTGTCAGTGTCATTGGAGTATCGTGAAAGGAATCCCATTCTCTGTCAGACGGACAGGACAGAGCAACAGTGTCAGTGATATAAGACAGTTCTTATCATTTGCTCTGTGGCCTTTTATCATGGTGTCAGACAGAATTTATCTGTTAAAGTAGTGCCAAGAGTTGTCTTTGCAATGATACCATACAGTCAAATTAGGCAGTGACATGTCACTTTTTGCACTGGGACAATGTGGAAATACGAAGAAATTATACCTCATATACTGAAAGCAGTCAAAAATATTTTATCCTAGTGCAGACGTTCCTTGCTTGGCTCTAACGCTTACCTAATAGGTAACAAAAAGAATCCTTTAAGCAGTTAAAATCCCTACAGACGATGAGATATCCTGTGTGAGATGGTTTCTGTCTTTTGCAGCCTACACTATCTGCTGTCTATCTGGAAGTTATTTTCAGACTCTGTGATTAATGTGAGCTGCCACAATCATACTCCTGCTCAATGACAAGGAAAGACTAAATCTGTGCAGCTAGCAGCCTGATATAAAATAAAATAAAATCTTCATCTGAAACTATTGAGACACAGAACAGCTTGAGATACGAATGAAAGAGTGCAGTGAATGAAAGCCAGGCTGTCTAGGATTATTCAGCTAACATTACTTTGATAGAGTTTATATTTCATTGTGATTTTTTTTTTAAAGCCAATAAACAAGTACTTGCTATAAAACAAATACTTGTGTTTTACAGGACAATCCTAAGGACAATTATGTGACTACAGTAATGTCAGAGACATGCCAAATGTATGAATAAATGACCCCGTCATAAAAAGACACTGATGACATATAGAGAATGAAGAATTATAATTTTTTTTCCCAAACCTAAAATGTACAAATATTTACACCATCAGTTGTAGTTTTGGAAGCACATACTAAAAATGTTGTTTCTAAATCTAAATGTGCTTAAGTTAGCTTAAAATAGAGGCAAGGTCCGGGTAACTGCAGCCGTTGCAGTGTGCTAAACTTTGAAGATTAATCTAGTTACAAAATGGATCCATTTTGGGAGCAAAGTGATATTTCACTATTTCAAACTGAATAGACACTTAACAGTCCACTCTCATTTCACGCAGTGCTGAAAACTGAACATAATGTTTCAAATAGCAAAAGGATGAAAGTTATAGGTGGACTCACAATGCCTCTCTAATTCCTAATTCGTTGTAGCATTAGAATATGCTTTAAATAAACGAATCGTGGACTTTTCAAGTCTGAGTTCAGTTATTATTCTGTAGAATTGTAGCATTGTGGTTTAAGCAAATTCAAATTATGTCGAAACAAGTATTAACAATGATATATTCTCTTTGTCAATTTCATTCACAGACATCATATTTTATTATATGCTAATTTGCAAATAAAGTCAATCCTTTCTCTTTTCACATTTGACAAATATGTGATATTTATTTTGTTTAACAGCTTACATAACTCAGCCAGCAGGGCAACAGCTTTAACAGCTGTGGATTTCTTTGCTGGCTATGTGGATGATTTTTAATAATTATTATTTTTGTTATATGTGGGGGCAGAGGCAGCCAGTTTCAGTCCAATCTGATCAAGCCTCTGCTGTGGCTGTTTTTTTTTTTTGTTACAAAAAGACTGTGGCCAGCTCACACTATGTAGGAGTACAGGTGAGTGTGAGCGTTGCAGGAAAGGTTTGGGTCTGTTTCGGCAGCTTTTTGAAGTGGCTCACTACGAGGCCGATTCAGTCCTCTTGCAGAGTGGTGAATCCTTCTTTGCACTCACATTGATGGTGAACGTTTCTTTCTTTTAGACTTCAGATAAGACATCTCAGGATGCTGAGGACAAAAACAGTGCTGGCTTTGTTTATGTCTGACTTCAGGGGAGTTTCCTAAGAGCTTCCAACAGATACAATTAACATGTCACATAAGGGCATATATATATATATTTTTTTTTTTTCCCCCACAAGGTTAAGAGACTTTTGCCATTTGAACCTTAGTAGCCTACTTCAGGGTTATTGTAGGACATCTGACTGGGAACATTTATAATCATCACTTGTGAACTGAAAAAGACTTTCTGTTCACCACCAGAATCACCACTGTCCAGAAGGATCATCTTCTGTTGGAAAAGTGGGCACATGCCTTGTGTGATATGGGACTGTGGCAACCGGGGTTCTTTTCCCATAGCATGTCTATGTTTGGCATTGGGTTTTCAGCAACTAAACTAGTTGATCACCTTATAAGGTGCTTTAAAAAAGTGCAAGTATGCATTTCAAGGCCATCCCAGGATGAGCCGTTTCACGGTTTGGCCTCTTGGCAACTGGTATTCCTTGTTGTTGTGGACATAAACACCTCTCTGCTCTGTAAGTGCTGAACCTCTTTGCCACTATAATTTGACTTAAGCGTTTGCGCACATGCATTACACTTACATGAGTCACAGCACATTATGATGAGTGGCTAGTAGATTAATATAGTAAGACTTCTTTTTATGGACTAAAAATTATGAAGATTGGCTTGTGCTGTGCATCATGTCTCTGTTTTATACAACAAATCCATATTTATCATAATGTTTTTGGGCTTAAATTGTACAGAAGAGTTCAGATGAAGTCTGAAATATGGTGATTTGCACAAAGGTGATTGGAGGACTTGAAAAACCTCTAGACACAACCAGCCAGTCCATACAAGGTATTAGCATATACCATGATAAATTGTAGGCTACCCTATATGAAAATGACAAAGAGCAATAAAACTCAGTTGATGTTCGGGCCTGACTGATTTACTGATCTTTGAAGCACGCCAGAGGAAAAATGTAATTCAGTCTACAATTTTTTCTTGGTATAACAACATTACATTTTCTATGAGAGTCAGTTAAGATTGATGACCATAACCCAAATGTATAGCCTGGTGCCATTTGAATTGAAAAACATATATTCCAAAGCAACTGGATGACTCCTTTGTGTGATTTTGCTGCATTCAAGTGGTCAAACATGTTACTACATGTGGATCTTTTCTCAAAACTCTCTGTAAACTATATTTCATGTGGTTATTTGTCCTTTAGGTTATTCCTCTACTAAATGTAAACACATAAATCTCTAACTATTGACTCCCATGGGAGTGTAATAGTCTTATTCTCTCTGAGAGTTGACTGTATGCTGATATACTGCCAATCTGTGGCTTATATATGAAACATTATATTATATATATGTGAATGTAAACCATAAGGTTTCAGATAACATTAACAGGGACAACAGTGCAGTAAAAGAGGGTCAATACCTTTTTTACATTTACAGAGTACTTCCGTGACGTAGGCAGAAACGAGAAAAGGACGAGTCTCGCGATATTTCCATCAGAGGTCAGAGTTAACATTGGCCATGTGTGTATGTTGCCGCAACTACTGCAGGACTGTTAGCTACAGCTACTGTTTACACTTTAGTTATACATATTTAAGAACATAGTCATTAAACTTTGGGTTACAAGGCTGTCTTAGGTTCATTAGGAGAGTATATATTTCCTCAGCGGACCCCGTAAAGTAAGCTTCATCTGAGGAAGGTGTTCTGCTTCGCGTTAGCTTTCCGTAGTTCAGCTGATATGCCAGTATGTATCTTTTAGCTGAATGAACTTCTGCTGATGGTTTAGCGTGGCCATTGAGCGTGACATGTTTAAAATCCGACCGCTGTTGAGTGCCTTAGTTAACCACAGACGGACGTTAGAGAGAAACGGTAAGCCAACCTATAACATATGGTGAATGTATTCAGTCTGCAGGGCTGTGGGTGAGTTTGTTCCTGTTCTGGGTTATTAAATACGCTTTGGTTCGCGAGACTCATCTTCTATTGTGTGAGTGAATGCAAAATGTATTTGAATCGATTGCCCCCGTCACATATAAGCTCACAGGACATGGTGTATTAGCCTACTGAATGTCCACGGGGGTGTATTAGGGCATCATTATCGCGGAATATTTGTATATCGTGTGTATCGTAGGTGGCTTTTTTCAGTTCTTCTGCAAGATGAGTGAAGGACCCAGAGATGAGCAGACAACCAAGATGCTGAAAAGATCCAATGAGGAGAATGAAGACTCTGCCGAGAAGGTGCAGGCTTCAAAAAGAATAAAAGCAGAGGGGGAACACGCTGAAGATGAAAAGAAATATCCCAAAAAGAAAGTGGTCCTCCTGTTGGCATATTCTGGAAAAGGATACTATGGCATGCAGGTACATACTGTAGCTGGGTTTCCTCTCTCTCAGCTCTAAGCACTTCATTTTCTTACATATTGCTAAATCTAAGTGTTCCCTGCGTTTCAGAGAAATACTGGAAATTCTCAGTTTAGGACAATTGAAGATGACCTCGTTACTGCACTTATTAAATCTGGTTGCATTCCTGAAAACCATGGAGACAACATGAAGAAGATGTCATTCCAAAGGTGTGCCAGAACAGATAAGGTATGAGTTAATGAATGGGAACCCATTTTGCAGCGCTGGGCAAACAAGGTAGTTTTGAAAAAGAATCAAACATTCACTTTATTGTGCTACCTAACTGTTGTGTAACAACTGTAATGTAATAGGTGGTGTTATCATTTTTTAACATGAGAAGAGTTTAAACACATCATTATTACTAATATAATAATATCAATATGACAAACTGTGTTGGTGTTTTGGATTTGTTTAGGGTGTATCTGCAGCTGGCCAAGTGGTGTCTCTAAAGCTGTGGCTGATTGAAGACATCGTTGAAAAGATCAATGAGTATCTGCCACCACAGATCAGAGTGCTCGGTGAGATTTTGGTTCTTGCTAACCTTTATTATCTGCTGAATTAAATATTCAATAACAAGTCAAAGTTGTTGGGATGATGAATGCTAAAGGATAGAATCCGCCCAAACCTCAGGTGATGCTAGTTGTTTCTCATAATCCAGTTTTCTCGATTAAGGCCGAGAGGAGGGGGTTTTAACATTCAGGAATTAACACTCACTTTTGTTTCCGACAGGTCTTAAGCGGGTGACCCAGAGTTTCAATTCCAAAAACAACTGTGATGCTCGTACATACTCCTATATGCTTCCAACAGTGGCCTTGTCCCCAAAAGACTATGATACTGCGAATAAAGCAGCTTTTCGCCTTGAGCCAGTGACACTACAGAGGGTGAACCGTCTGTTTGCGCTCTACAAAGGCACCCATAACTTCCACAACTTCACCTCTCAGAAGGCTGCAAATGACCCCAGTGCCCGCCGCTACATCACAGAGATGTCTTGCGGAGAGCCTTTCATCTGCAGCAATACTGAGTTTGCAGTGATCACTGTGCGAGGCCAGAGCTTTATGCTGCACCAAATCCGCAAGATGATCGGCCTGGTGATTGCGGTGATAAAGGGCTACGCGAAGGAGGAAGTGATGGAGCGTAGCTGGGGACAGGAGAAGGTGGATGTTCCCAAAGCACCAGGTTTGGGGCTGGTCCTGGAAAAGGTTCACTTTGACCGGTACAACAAGCGATTCGGTGGGGACGGGCTGCACGAGCGGCTGGAATGGGACGGCGAGGAGGAGGCGATCAAGGCCTTCAAGGAGGCTCACATCTACCCCACCATTGTTGAGACGGAGTGTCAGGAGGGCTCCATGGTCAGCTGGATGGCCACACTGCCTATCCATGACTTTGAAGCCACGGCTGCTGACACACGAGACAATAAGGACCAGAAACAGGTATCTTAAAGTCATATGGAGTATGAATCTTTGAAATTAAAAATCAGTTTTGTTACATATTCTTATTCGTTGTTGCTCTCCTTTTCCTCCAGGACAACGCAGATGTAGAAAATGCCTCCGATTAGGTCACCTGGTCTGCTGAAAGACGAGACATTTTCCCACCAAAACATTCTTTCTTTTGTTGGGAATAAACTTTCTATTTACTATATCTTCCAAGGATAACTTTCATTTTGTGGAATTAAATTCAGCTTCTCTTATACAAATGTTATTAAACAAACTATAAAAGATAATAAAAGCCTTTTGTGTTCTTTATTGTTCCCTGATCATGACAAAATGTTAATTTCACCTTGTAACAAATGTGTATGCCCTCTGCCAACCTCTGTGTCAGTCCTAATAGTGCTGGTAGTTAAGATGTTTGTCTTGTAAGCTGACTGTTAGTCTGATTCTGATTCTGACATTAAAGACGAGTCTGGATTTTTTCATGCATACATATCTTTAATAGTGAATTTCCCCAGTGTGGAATTAATAAAGTATATCTTAATAGAATACTAACATACCCATGTGTACGTGGAAAGAGTAACTGGTTGCTATGTCCATTCGGGCCTTGAAGTGATTGTACCTTACCACTACTCCCTCTGTAAGAATGGGGACAAAATCCACTCTCCTTCTTCCATGTCATTTTGCATCTGCTGAAGCTAATGTGACGCTTCCATGCTGAGAGTTGGTCACGTCAAGTGCTCATCTAGATTTTGTATAATCTCACTAATCAGTTACAAGGCAAACAAGCCTTTTTAATTCATTTTCAGTAGATTTTTAATGGCATAAATTGAAGTATGAAAGTCAGCAGTATCAAAAGAAGACACTATAGCATTTATATCAGAGCTACAGTGATGATTGTATTATTTTATTACATCATACAGTTATTGATTCATTTGAATTTAAGTTTTAATCTGATTGTGTTGACAGAACTTAGCAGAGGGGTACTCGTGTATTTTTTTTTTTTTTATAAAAACTGATACTTCTGTACCCAAGCAATGATTAAATACTGAAGGGATCAAATTTAAGCTAAAACTTCGCCCTCCAGTCACGAGGGGGCGCAACAACAGTTGAGAGTTATGGAGTAATGTTTGCATTCAATGACTTTTGGGTTTACAGTAAAGTAGATCTCCCACCACTCAGCTATGATTGCCGTACTTCTATGGCAGTGAAAGCTAATAAAAATAGAAGTAGTTGTAATTACGTACAAGCTTATGCGGCTATATTTAAACAATCTACTCTTAAACTCATAAACTAATTTGTAGGATTTTTGCCTTACGTACTGTTTTGCCGGATGTTACGTGAACGGCACATCACTGGGTAAACATGGCGCCGGCCAAAAAACGCAACGTGAGTTCGGCGAAAACAAGCCAACAAAGTGTAAAAACAGCTAAAATCGACTTAAATAGCAAAGTCGAGAGAATACTTGAGAGTAGAAAACACGCCAACGACGTTTTTGACATCCTCGAGGTCCTTCAGGTAAAATATACGCCACCCACAACTAAATACATGCTGGTGAGCTAGCGGGTTGTGTTATCTCACCACCTTACATGTGTTCGTATTCTTCATGTCTGTTTGCAGTCAGAAAAAGACAAGGATGTTATCAGTGCTGCCGATGCGTGCGGCAAATTGTTCTGCACCTTGTTGGAGAGGAAGGAGCTCTTCATCGGTAAACTACCTGGCGAGGAGGAAGCGTTGGGTGGTGAGTACAGGCTGATAATTCATCATCATGATTCATATTAATCATTAAGGGGATGTTAGGAAGTGGCACACGAACACTGCTGCACATACAGACACCGGGACACACACACACACACACACACACACACACAAATAGAGTTGCTGATGCTCTCATCGTCCCGTCTCTGTATCTGTCTGTCTGTCTGTCTGTCTGTTTGTCTGTTTTCTGGCTCAGGGGGGTACAGTGCTGAAGAGAAGTACCGCATGTTCATGAGACACCGTTACAACAGCTGTGTGGAGATGCTGCTTGAGCACCTCACCCATGAACTCCATGGAGTCAAGGTGAGTTGACTGAAAGCTTCAGTGGAGAAGGGGCCCATACACACTTGAGAAAGTGACAGCATTTTTCAGACTTGAAGTTACATTGAAGTGAGTATACGTGCAGGAACATTTGTGGCATGGGTTTTTAACTTATTGTGCACAAATGAATGGTTGGCATGATAAGAACACTGGTATTACTGCCAGTATACTTGAGTGAACACAGTCTTTGATAATAACTTTGTTCTCTTTGGCCCTGTTAAATTAACTACTGTCTAGAAGTTTTTATTACTATTGCTGAAAGCCATGAATTGCTGTAGATGACAAAGGGAATCAAGTATGATGTGGTAGATTATTGCCTTTTATCTTGTGTCGGGGCATACCAGCTCAGGTCCACTGAGGCCAATCAACATTTAGTTGTTAGCTCTCTGATCTGGCAGTAAACAAAATTGTAATGAACCATTATGATGCACTTGGGGATCTGTGAAAGGAAATCAAGTTTGTCCGTCTTGTTTTTTTTAAAATAAACAACTGTCTGGATACAGGAGAGTGCCCTCTGCTGCCTTATGAAGTTTGCTGCAGGAGAAGGACAACATCCCCTCGAGGACTTGGACTGGAGTGAACACTACAGCTTTCCAAGAGAACTCATCCTGGTAGGGATTTTTGTCATGCAACCTGGCCATCAGTGGTGGGGATAATAATATGAAAAGCATTAATGTAATTTAATGCTTCTGAAAACACCAACCTTTTATTTCATTAGTGGCACAGGCACATTCTGATATTTCTGTTGTTATTTCATGGCCAGGCAGTGGTGGAAAGGCTGCTTTCCAAAACTACAGACAATTCCCTACTGATCTCCAGATTCCAGGAGTTCCTTGAGATGGAGGATGTACGCTATTATGTCATGAGCTCTGTCCGGGAGAATGTGGGCAAAGTCATGGACAAAAGCAAAGGGGTAGGAAAACTCTTGTCTAGTGCTTAGCTCATGTGCTGTAGCTGTGCTTGTTTAATGCTTTCATTGTCACAGTTTAGATGCAGTTCATGTATATTACTTGGTTTGCTGAATACTCTTGGCTTTTCTTGTCCCTCCCCAGGCAGTGATGCCTGTATATCAGACCAATGTGTTCACCCTCATGTCCAACATCAGTGTGCCTAGCCAGGAGTCAGAGCTCACCAACTTCATGGTCAAACAGGAAGGTGAGACCTGCTTTCTGACAATGCCGTAGTGTGAGTGTTTCTTTTTTGCTGTGATGCTGAACTGCCACTGTGTGATGTATGTTTTTCCAGCCAAGCATGAAGACTGGAAAGCTGCTAAACTGAATGTAAGTAAAATATTTTTAATCAGACTTTCACATTTCTGCTTGTTGTTTAAATGTTTCCTAAATATGATTTTAAATGTTCTACCTCATTACAGGAACACAAGCGTGTCTTTGAGAGGATGTGGCTGGGCTTTCTCAAGTATAAGGTACTATTTTAAAAAAAACAAAAACAAAAAAAAAACCTTTTCTACAATCAAAGATCTACGACACTGTGCACTGTGTCTCATTAATTTCTAATCGCTCTGTTGTAGTTGCCAAGCAACATGTATAAAAAGGTCCTGGTGATCCTCCATGACTCCATTTTGCCCCACATGAGTAAACCCACACTGATGATTGACTTCTTGACTGCTGCCTATGAAGTTGGTAAGTTGTGACTGTACTCAGTGACTTTAAAATGACCATAGTGGTATTTTTTTACATCTTGTCTCTGGGATGTATTATTTCCAAAGGGTGATGCTGGTAATCAGCATGTCTTTGTCCTTTTTTTTTTAAACAGGTGGGGCTATCAGCCTGCTGGCCCTCAATGGCCTTTTTGTCCTCATTCATCAACACAACCTGTGAGTATTTATGTGAAAAGTACATAGATTTTGGCCACTTTTCATTGTCACATTAATTACAGTAATATGTAGAAGAAAATAAACGCACACAAAGTAACCTCCATCCAGAATCTGTACAAAAGTAAACTCAAAGATATTTCTGAATTACATAAATAGTGTACTCAAGGTTGTGTGTGTGTGTGTGTGTGTGTGTGTGTGTGTGTGTTTGCAGAGATTACCCTGATTTCTACAAGAAGTTGTATAATCTGCTTGAGCCTTCCATTTTCCACGTGAAGTACAGAGCACGCTTCTTCCACCTAGCTAACCTCTTCCTTAGCTCCAGGTAAGATCCTTCATGCTTCACTAAATGTTGTTTTTTTTAATCTTCAGTGTATCAGTTATAGTTGTCTGTCCTCTTCGAGCACTGGACAGGTAAACAGTTGTAGTTAACACTATTTGTAGTTGAGCTGCTGCAGTAGATTTCCCAGTCTAACCACACTTTTTATTTGTTAGCCCCCGACAAGCCCCACTTGTCTACATAAAGGTCAAGTTATACTGCAGCAGTAGTGGCTGGGGAGAATGTGTTTTTGATCATAAAAATTACCATAAAAGTTTAAAAATATGTTGTATACACGTTTGTGCTTACCTCCAGTCACCTGCCGGTATACCTGGTGGCTGCGTTTGCCAAACGCCTGGCTCGCTTGGCTCTCACAGCACCGTCTACAGGCCTCCTTATAGTGCTACCTTTCATCTACAACCTGATCCGTCGCCACCCATCCTGCAGAGTCCTTGTTCACAAGCCCAGCACAGAAGATGGTGAGTCTCCTCTTCTGTTTGTGATGGAACTTCTCAACATTTATAATTTCTTACCATTGAACATTTCAGTGGTTTTAGATTCCCAGTCCGGTTCATTGCAATATAATATTAATATCAAGACAATTTGTAAGAATTGTACTGTGATGTACAATCTTCTTCAATGTATGCATTTGTCTTGTGTCTCTTCCTAATGACAGAGCCTTTGGAAGATCCGTATCTGATGGATGAAGAGGATCCTGCTCAGTGCCGTGCCTTAGAGAGCAGCTTGTGGGAGATTAAGGTGTGTACAGTATGTGATGGTGAATGAATCATCCATGACACAGACTACGACTGAGCTATGATTTGTGCAAGCCAATTGTTTCTGTGTCGTTGATTGGAAAATGTGATGAAGGAATATCACGTACATGTAGGAGGCCAACTTAATGGAAAGTATACTTTTATTTAGTAAATTACAATTTTAATTCTTCTCCTTCCCTGCAGACACTGCAGAAGCATCACCATCCAGATGTGGCCAAAGCTGCTATGTTGATCAACACACCACTGCCAGAAAAAGAGGATGACATTAGCGAGGTGCTAGAGATAACAACATA